TTTAATATCTAATATAATTGCTAACAACTTCTTTAAAATAATGTAATTCTTCTATCTTTACATCTAAGTTGTGGTGATGTGATATATAATCTTACAGATTCACTCTATACATCAGACATTTTAACATGTAAAAGCGATTGCCATGGTTATATTGATGATACTCCAAAAATGAGCTATAAAAAAAGGAGAAATCCTTTAGAAAGAGGTAATCCCGAACCCAAAGACACCTGTAAATCAGTAGGTTTTGGTGGAGAATGTGGAACTAAACCCACAATTTTCAAATGTAATGGTTTATCTTGGGATTGTGGCAAAGAAGGGTTCAAATATCAGACATGTAGTGGTAAGGATAAGTACAAAGATAAGGCTAAATATGGTATAGATGGTAGTGATGATGATGATGATCATAAGAAATCAAAATCAAAACCGAATACCTTCCTTATGGACCAAGGACCAGAAACGGGCATATATATGATAATCAATTCTTGCTGCCTGTCCAAGAAGCGTCAACAAGGCGGTACATCTGCTGCTACAATAAATGTGAATGACCAGGTAGGGATTTAAATATTTTTATTAAGTAATTAAAAACAAGTGATGATTATGATCTGGATATTTAAAATCCAGAATTAATTATTCGGACTTTAATTCATCATTTGTTTTAAAACAAAGAAAAATGTTTTAAACTGTTTTTTTTTTTTTTTATACCATCTTGATAATTAGGGCGGAGAGATTGCGCCAGCAGCACCAGCAGCGGCAGCACCAGCGGCGCCAGCAGCAGCGCCCGCTGCTCCAGCAGCAGCCCCAGCGGCACCAGCAGCTGCTCCAGCTGCACCAGCGCCTGCAGGAACAACTGCAACTGATACAACTACTTCTTCAACTCCTACTACGACTGCACCAGCAGCCCCAGCAGCAACAACATAAAAGTTATTTTTTATAAAATGAGTTGATAACATCTTTTGTGCAACGTTAGTAATGAATAACATATTAAGTCATTATTATAGTTATTAATATGTTTTATATTAGTCCTAATTTTTGAGTTATAATTATAATTTTTACAAGTTATATATATAAATTTTGTGTGATCAAATTTTTAGAAAAAAAAAAAAGCAATTACTGGTTTTTTTTTATATCTAAATATACAGAATAGTGGCTCAAATATTTTTAACACCTAATTTAGCCTCGATTAGTGTTAACATTAATGTAAAAAGAAAAAAAATTTGTATATAACTATAAAAATTAATGTAATAAAATATTATGTATTATGATCACAACTTATTGAATTTTTTATTAAAATTACATGATACTTTTCACTTTTACATTAATGTAATTCCAAAAATCCATTAAAATTATTTATTTTATCTGATTTTATTAAAATTACAATATTCAGAACTTGATGTTACGTAGCACTAGAAATATTATTATGTTTTCGATAAAAAATATTGTTATATAATTTTAGTAACCTGTAATTGAAAAAAAAATTTAAAATACATATGAGAAATATGAGATATTATTTTTTGATCATTTCTCATGGAATAAACATTAAAATCGGATTAATTTTCTAGATACGTAGAAAAATTTCATTAATGTTTTTCTATAATGATAAACAATAAAATACGTATACTAGAGTGGACGGGGAAATGTAATGTGCATATATGTGCATATGTGACATGTTTTTCGTAAATCATATGTGAACATATGTGCTCGCAGTACATTCAAATTCTTTGCCAAAAGAAGGCATTAATATTTGGTTTCGCCGTTAGCATTAGTATCTAAATTTAGTTTCGCCTTTTAGCATTAGAATCTGAAATTAGTTTCGCCTCTTAGCATTAGAATTTGAAATTAGTTTCGCCTTTAGCATTAGAATCTGAAATTAGTTACGCTCTTAGAAAAAATCAATAATATAATTTTTAGAAATTAAAGTTCTTTGGAATTAGTTTCGCTCTTAGGAAAAATCAACAATGTAAAATAGCAATTTAGTTTTACTCTTTGTACAACAATATAGGTTTTAAAAATTGCTAGTTAATATTTAATAAAATTTAAAAAATAAAAAAATTGCGAATTCATTTTTTTTCAATTTTTACTTTTCAAAAATGATTACACCCAATGACCGTGTTAATGAAAACGAGGAGTACAAAAAAAACTTTTATGTTGAAAGCAAAAGTTTATTTTGTATCTTCTGTAAACGTATCGTAAATTATAAAAATAAATTTATACTTGATCAACATTTATGAACTGATAAACATAAAACAAATGAACGTAAAGCTAATGAAAATCCACAAGAAACTAATGAACCAGCTTCTAAAATTAATACTTGTCGAGAAGAACGTGATGCAATTAATATAGATTTAATTCATGCTTTAACTCAAGCTAATATTCCACTTGAGAAAGTCGATAGGCTTAAACCGTTCTTCTTGAAGTACTGTAAAAATAGTAAGTTAATTTTGTTAGTAAAGATTTTAATTCGTTAATTAAATATTAATTAATTATTATTTGTATAACAGGTGGTTCTATTGTTGAATCAACTCAATTACATAGCAGATATTTGCCTATTGCATTTAATTTGGAAATTGAGAATTTAAAACTACTCTTAGTTGGAAAACGAATTTCTATTACTATCGATGAATCACCTGATGTTTGTGGAAGAGCTGCTGTAAATGTATTATTTAGTTTTTATAATACGACTAAACTAGTTAAAACTGAGCATTTAGATATTGTTAATAATACTACTATCACACAATTAGTAATGAAAACGCTTCAATTTTATAATATTCCATTTGAAAATATTATTTTTTTTATTTCCGACAATGCTTCTTATATGGTAAAAGCATTTAGTGTTTTATCTCCCTTAATAACTCAAATGAAACATAATCGTTGTTTGGCGCATATATTAAATTTAGTGGGTGAAACATGGGTGGGTCACAAAAATTTTAAATTATTAGATGACATAGTAATGCAAATTAAAGCCTCATTTACACATAATAATGCACGTAAACGAAAGTAGATTTCCTTTTTAAATTCACAAAATCTTGAAATGCTGTCAACCTTACCTCCATTTCCTGTTAAAACAAGATGGAATTCTTGGTTTAATTTTGTTTTTTGGATCGACAAATATATTCCTCAACTAAAAAATTTTTATTTGAATGAGGAGCTTATTAGTAACGGCAATGAAAGCAAGGCAGTTCAAAAATTAATATCTATTTTTAAAGATTCTGTACTTGTATCTGAATTTGAAATTTTATCTGCATTTATCACGTTTAATGCACAAAGGTAATATATAATAAAAAGTTTTTTTAATTAAAAAAAAGATTACCGTTACATATCATTATTAACGTTAATATATTTATTTTAATTTTATTTGTACATATCATATGTAGCCTTTTTAATGTATTGGAATTTTTTAAAATTCACAACAAACCTGTGGCACCTTCTGTGTCAAATCAATTAACACAACTTGAAGCACAACTTCAATCTGGTACTGTTAATCCACCTTTAAATGATAAAATACTAACTATATTTAATACACTACATATAGATTCTTCACGATATATAGTTGGATTTCGGGAGGCATATCAGTCAGCATTAAATAAGTTTAAAAAACATATCGATCAACATCAGACTTTACCTTTATTTAAGGCAATTCAATGTTTTGATCCCTATTATTTTCATTCACAACAAAGTCGACAGAATATTAATTTGTACAAATATATTCCTGAGTTTGAAAATCCAAATAGTGCTATTATACGTAAGTGGGGAATTTATTGTAAAATAGATGAAGATTTTAATTATGATAATGATTTTGATTTAGATTCTTATTGGAAAGAAAAGGCTGCTTATCTTCCTAATTTGTCACCTATAGCTTTAGTTTATATTTGGCTTCCTGTTTCGGGAGTTGATGTTGAACGAAGCTTCTCTGTATATAAAAATATTCTTACAGATAGAAGACAAGCTCTTTCAGAAAATTCAATTGGCATTTTAAATTTTATGTATTTTAATAAAGTCGAATAATAAATCGTCTAAACATAGACAAGAGGAAATAAAAATATTAATGATTGCATTAATATGTAATATTGATACGTATACTTTTGATGTTTAAATAATTTTAACATGACATAATCTTGATGTAAATCGTAATCAAATAAATTATTCATAAGTTACTTACATTCGGATTTTAATTTATTCCAAATATGGCTAACTTCTCTAATAATGCACTAGACATTTTGGAAGAAAAAAAGTTTCAAAAGTCCACACCGACACTACACAAAACATACGTATAAAATTTAAAAATTTATGGCTTGTAAAGGCGTTTGTTCTACAATAAATTTAATACACATATGTGCACATATGTTCACATATGATTCATGAAAAACATGTCACATATGCACATATATGCACATCACATTTCCCCGTCCACTCTAGCCGTGACACAGACCGCGTGACTTAGCCGGATTACATTATAAACCAATTTGCTACAAAAAACATTAAAACAATTTAAGTTGCAAATTCCTTATAAGTATTAACAACATCAATCCAAGTAGTACAGTAACATGAGTAAAATTTTAATCTGAAACTGAGTGATTATTAATATACCATATCAAAATTTAAAAGGTATTAGCTGATCTGTTGAGACAAGACAATAATTAAATAAAATGTTTACGTTATTAATAAAAAAGTAATCAGGTATACATTAGTTCTCTCGATTTATCACGTCAATTACAAATAATATAGAAAAGCAAAAAATTTAGTAAAGTTGCAATCCCAGATTCTGATTTTCAGGTGACGCTGTAAAGGGTTGATTTAACCCTCCGGAAATACTGCGCTCCGACATGGTACGATGTCCTATTTTTAGCTTATAGATTTGCTAAACCTGTTTATAGTACAAACATGTATAATTAGTAGACTAGTGTCAATCCTTACCCGTATTTAGTAAAATTATCTAATTTATTGAATTAAGTCAATATTAGACAAATAGTAATTAAAATTACTATTTGATAAAAATTAGATTTAATTGATATTTTAACAAAATCAATTAAATACAGAATATATTTACTAATATCGCTAAAAGTATAAAAAGCGATACTTTTTGTCTTCAATAAAAATAACTTCGAGAGTTCAGATAAAACTCTAAGTTCTAAATTGTCTAAGTATTAATACTTCGAAATTCGAGTAGAAGTATTAAGTACAAAAAAGTTACCCATAGATAGTGCAGTGTATAGATGCTGGTAAAACTAAATAATGCTGGTGAAACTGGTGACTATCTAAAATGTGATTGGTTGTTATATTAAATTTCACCAGTTTCACCACCATTCACCACCATTCACCAAGAGTTTCACCAGTTTCACCAGCATCTATAGTGCAGTGATAACTCCCTGATCCAGATTCCCATTATTAAAAATACTTTAATTCATAAACCACGCTCCGTAATTATTAAATCCCGACCTATTTAAGCAATAATCAATTATCCCGATTATAGTTTTATTGATAAACTTTAAACTCCATTGTTAAATCAATAACCAATCGGATCGAAATCCCGATCACGTGCCACGTGATAAAAGTAAAAGTATAAAGAAACTGAAAAGACCGAAACCAAAGCTACTGGAATAAAAGCCCAAGAACCAAACAACACTCACCTAAAAGAAATCCACCCTGCAATCCTAAAACCCGGACCAAATCTTCCACGCCGTCTTTCAGCCTACCAACTTAGGGTTGATTGTTGGAATTGAGTTGATTGTTTGTAAACCCGAATACAGGTGTAACCGAAACCCCAGGTCGAGTTCCGTGCCAGAACCGGTTCACACCTTTTCAACGCACGTCACCTGTCGATTGGTAATCTGAAGTGCGTAAGCTAAAATCTGACGCACACGATCATCTTTAAAATCATAATAAAAAGTCTAAAACGAAAAGTTTTCAAAATGCAATAACTTTAATGAAGTTGAAGCAAGAACGAGGGCATAAAAAACCTTTTGGTTTTAACCTTGTCATCCCTTTCTTTGAAGTCGGCTTTATTTTGACCTCTGTTAATTACCATTAACGTTAGACGCGTAGGATCGATTTTCCGTTCATGTAACGTAAAAGTTCAAAACTAACGTTCCCTTTGCAAAAATCGTAATTATCTCAAAATTTAGTAAGCCACCTTTTTGGTTCTAATAAAAAAAATTCCTCATACAATTTTGCTATACTATGGCCTTTCCCTAACCCTAGCCCGAATTTAAATAAATTTTTTTTGTTCGAAGACTATGATTTCCTGCATCACGTGACCGGAAATCAATCCTACGCTCTGTCAATCTCATTAGTTTCTTTAATCGTCCTTTAACGCTGGCCTAATTCTTTAAAAATTATATTACCTTTGCTTCACTTTTGCTGATTCTCCCTTCTTTGAACTTGGATTCACCTTTATGTTACCTTAGTTCTCTTTAATCGTCTTTAGACGTTGGCCTAATTCTTAATGAAAAAAAGAGTACTTTGACTTCACTTTTGCTTTGGGCGGGCAGTTCTTAGCAATATAATATATAAAAAAAAATTTAAATTACCTTTGGCTTCACTTTCACCTTTCCTTTTGGGCGGACGGTTTCACCTCTCATGTTAGAAATTAATGTACTGTCTTTTAAAAATTATTATTTCTTTGCAAAGCTTATTTATTTTATTATAATCATTTTAAAGTATAAAAATTTATTCAATCCAAGATGACATAATCGAAGCAGCACTATTAAACCGTGATTTTTCTTTGCGTCAGACTACAATTCGAATCAAATTTTACTTCAGATGATCAATCGGCAGGTGATGCGCGACGCAAGATGCACAGCATTAATATTAATAAGCTCCAGTTGGACGCTGTAACTATAGAGTTGGGAGAGCGTTAATATAATTTATGCAAGGGCGAATTTAGCTCCTATAGTTTACTGATGTTTTAGATGGGCCCGGGAGATAATTTTAGTGATAATTCGGATACTAGGGTTTAACGAAAGGGACTGAACGATGGAATTCGGTAGTTATGAGGGAAAAGGTAGGTTTGAATTTATTCAATAGGAATATGATTTAATGACTTTAACTATAATTAACAAAACTTAATACAATTTATATAACACAGTGAGACTTTGCATCCAATTACTCAGGGATAGGTCTCTTCAGCCAACACTGCTTACTTCCTATATGTTAATTAGAAGACAACTCGAATCTGGCCTTTATTGAGAGCAAACGAGGAAACTTATATACATGTGAAAAGGTAAGTGATATCACTCTACTTTGTACATAATTTACTAATTTTTGTAGGGGTTTTACTACGTTCGGTACATACTTCACTATCACTACCTAGAGTATCCCACCATCTGTACAGTTATTACTCTTATCTAGACACTACTCGCTTCGAACTGCTTCGAATTGGACATAATTCGCCACAGTTTACATAATTCGCTCCAATATCTGTGGCTGTATGTAATACCCAACTCGCTTAACCAGGTCTGAGTCTTGTTTTTTAAATTATAGACAAATAAGGAAAATGATGGACGATACATAAAAGAAATGACGAAATGGGCTAATATATATAAGGTAAAGTAAAACTATATACGGATATATAAAAGAAAATAAAAAATGAATAAGAATAAAAAAAATAATGTCTATTTACAGGTCACGAGTGGGTTGTGACAGACGCTTAAGAATTCTATCCTTGATTGGACGATAATAGGGCGTTTCGAAATTAATTTATTTCAAAATAACGATAAAGTGTGACATCTGCAGATCACGATGTCATATGAAATTACAAAAAATCAGCAGATTTTAGCAGATTTTTTGTTTCTCGAAATTTAAAGATTTTAAACAATATACAATTGTTTATTGAAATATATAATTGATATAAAATCTAAATCTCCGAAATTTCCAACTACCATCATCACAAAAATTTCAATGTCACACTTTATTGTAAAGCAGAGAATAAAATAAAAGTATCGAAATTATGAAATCAGTAAACCTTTATTTATTTTTGATATCGTCGATAAAAAAAGTAATCATGCAAATATGCACACACTTGAAATAAAGTTACACTTATTTTGAAATAAATACATCACTTAATTCATCTGAAATCAGACGCCGAATTACTAACCAAATGCTCAAATTTTTAGGGATGGAAAGACCGAATAAGGATTAGTCTTTTAACCAGTTTCACGGTTATTCGGTCTCGGTCTTAAGACCAGTTCGGATAAAATACCAAATTACAAAAGTATGTTACATAATTTCTAATTTCGATAACCGATATCATATGATTTGAATCTAACGGCAAGCCAATAGAGTTTGTTAGAGTTTTAGATAAAGGTACATTTTTAGGATCTATGCCAGATCAAAAACATTAATGGACCGGTCTTATCAGGGACTAGAACGGACTGGACCGGACTGATCCTAATGATGCCTCTCGAAACTATTTTGGTGTGTCAAAACTGTTTCGATAAATCCCATAGTATCGAAATATCGATATCGAAACTCGATAGTGGTATCGAAACTCGAAAGTGGT